TTGCCAATACAGAAATGGCTAATGCGTACTATAGAAGATTTGGTTATAATGTCTGATTTTACTGCAACAGAGAGAGAGACGGAAGTCAATGCCTTTTGTTTCTTTTTCTCCCTTTCTTCACATCTTTTTTTGTTTTCCATTTTTCTATTGTTGTCCCCAACTATTTGCTTTTGTATTTTCACATTTTATGTTATAAATGAATAAAACTAATAAAAAAAGAACTCCTAATGAGAGAAAGAGAGCAAGGCAGGTAAGGAGGAAAGAAGGATTTTTTTTGGGAAAGATATTTGGAATTGTTTAGAAAAGACTCAAACAATAATTGCTGCTTATGCCCCATTAGTACATTAGAACACAAAACTGGATAAAATCAGGAATTGCAATTATGGAAACAGAAAGAACACCGCATTAGATACTACTAGATGACATTAGTGGTTGGTCAATTTAAAGATTTACTAATGGAATGAATGGGGTATGAGTTGCCATTGTTTACAAAGTTTGTTAATTTCTTTTAAAATGTGGAAAGTAGAAATGTTTGTTTTGAATGTTTAGTTGCACCTGACCAATAAATACTATCAATTCTAACTGTGATCAATAGCTAGGTCAGCCGCTGGAAACTGTCTATATTGGGCAGTTAGACTGGAACCAGACTTTATTAATAAAAGCTATAGAAACAGAATTTTGAAGCCTTGACTGTGAAGCTCTTGCCTTCCTCTATAATCCAGGGAATTAGGGCAGAGAAAATTTGAGGGTTTTTTTGTTGTTATTTTTTTTTAACTTTCCTTATTTTCTGGGCTTAAAGCCTTTTTTCTAACTGTTGCTGCATAGGTTTCCCAAGGTTATCTCTGTGGCCTTCTACATGCACTGCCTACAGAGAATAAAATGAATAAAATATATTTCTGATATATGTAAAATCCCATGTTGTATTCCTGGCATATTCAGGTAAGGCTGAGGAGGACTTCTACCTGAAACTTTATGAACCCATTGCTAGTCCTTATGGAAATCAGCTCTACAGACCAATGGCATGGCTCGTTAGTACTATATTTTTTATGGCTGCAACTTGTAAAACAAAGGCTCTGATTTTATAATTTGAGGAACAATCCCTCAGAAATTAAGTAATATCATGTGAATATTGTGTGAATGTTTCAACCATGAATAGAGTCCAAGTAAATGTCTCTATTCAATGATTATCTATCTGTAAGGGGAAAGTCTTGACCTATAAATTCAGCTCATGTTCTCCTGAAATATATGAGAAATACCAATATAGGCTAACTTCTTGCTCTATGCCTATGTTAGAGAGAGAGAAAGAGATCCATAATGCAGTACTATGCTTCCGTTTAATCAGAGTTATGCTTTATTATTAAATCACAGGTCAACTCACTGATCTACATATTCTCCAATACTTGGAAGCATTTTTGTAAATGTATCTCTTTTCTGTTCTATTTTCCAAGAATCACTTTTACATATAATTTCTTTGAGGTAACAGACACTGACCAGAATATACACAAGGTTATTCAATATGGGGAAATAGTCTACAATAATATTTAAATGCTCTGTTTTTCACCACTAGGTGCATTTTTTTTTTAGTTTACGGTACAAAAATCTTTCAGAAAAAATTTGATTTGATTTGATTGATTTTATTAAATTTATACCCCGCCCTTCTCCCGGAGGACTCAGGGCGGCTTACAGCCAGTTTAAAACAATGGTACAATACAATACAAAATTTAAAAAGATTAAAAATAACTATTTAAATTTGGCCGCTTCTACTAAAAATTTAATTTAAAACCCCTTTAAAATACCCCTAGGCCAGTCCTGCCTGCTGAAATAACC